TATCTATCTATCTATCTATCTATCTATCTATCTATCTATCTATCTATCTATCTATCTATCTATCTATCTATCTATCATTATCCTTTATTTTTTCTCTTTCATGTGACCAGTTTGGCTCTTATTAACTGAAAACTTGAATGTACTTGGCGCAGTTCCAAAATGTGGCTTTCTTGAAGCCGCTTGAAAGGGGAGGGGGGTATTTTTTTTTTTTTTTTTGCAAAAGCTCTATAGGGTGTAAGACGGAGGAATAAAAGACAGAAAGAAAGATGGCAGTAATTGTAATATCCTGAGATTTTTTCGCTCAGCCAAAAAATTCGTGCCATTGAGCAAGTTTCACAGGGCTGCCGCTGACTCGCTGCAGGACACATAAAATCTGATCAAGTTCAGAGACGCGCTGAGTGCTTCAAGCGGCGCTTTTTAACTCCAAGCCTTTCACATCCTTTCCCCCTCAATCTGTCCCAGGAAGGAGCTCACATTCTTTATTTTAGGGGATGTGGGCTAAAAAAAAAAAAGCGAGAGAAAAAAGAGAGAAAAAAATCAAATCAGTCCTTCATTCTGTTCTCGCCCTCATCCTACCGCATTCACTCCCAGAACATTTCGTCGAGAAAGAGTTATAGATTGAAAAGGTGAGTTTTCCTACTTATCCGTCGTCTTTCTGTGCTAGAGAGAGAAGAAGAGGCCTGTGTGAACTGCATGCTGTGGAAGTGCTAAACTCTACACTTTATTTAGCCCGTGGAGGTTACACGGGATTTAGTTTTGTTGAAGTGAACCTCGGCTGCTTAGTGTTTAGGCCTGTTACTCATATGTTGATTCAGTTGTTGCAAGAACCCGCAAACCTCTGTTTTTTCTTTTTCTAACCAGCTCGCATACTAATATAACATTTACGCTTTTTTTACATAACGACTCGACAACATAACTCAATAACTTATTTTGAAGGGGGGAGAGGGAAAAATGAGATTCACTTCATCGTTTTCCTCCATAAGCCGCTCTCTCTCCCTTTCCCTCTCCCTCTCTCTCGCTCAGCCTCTCTCCCTCCCTCTCTCTACTTTTCTTCATCTCTCTCCCTTTCTCTCTCTCTCTCACGACGAAGGGATAGCCTCTCACAGTTTACTCCCCCCTTCATTCTCACACACTCGTCTTCTCATACTGCAACACAGTAAGCGCGTACACACACACACACACACACACACACACACACACACACACACACACACACACAGTGTAAGACGAACACATACACACAGAGAAAAAAAAAAACTCATCGGGATTTATTGCGACCTTTGTGAACTTTCGCAAGCGACAAGCAGCCTGTTAAGTTTTCCTAAACTCCCTCCATATTTTATTGGCTCGTTGAAACGTGAATGCTCCATACACCACTTAAGGTTATGTGCCGTGTATTCGCAAGCCATATTACCGCTATGAAATAATTAAGTGACATGGTTAAGATGAGTCACAAATGTTTGTGAGCCACAGAGCAGCAGCGTAGGCACCGAGCTCTTGCTGAGAAAAAGGGGGGGAGCTGTCATCAGCCAGGCCTAATGTAAAGCAACTGTTGCTTGAGAGTTAAATTTAAAACTACCGCTGATCTCTTCTTGTATCCTGGCATTTGTTGAATATTTTTTATTCAATTCACTGCACGAATGTGGAATTTGACAACTGGGGACATCAAACACTCATTTACTAATTATTCATGCTCTCATCAAAACAAACATAAAGAGAGTCAGGATTACAAGAGTATTAGGTAGCATTTTTATTTATTTTTTTATTTTAAAATTTCTGTTTTGTTCTGTATTTTATCCACGACTTCTTGCCAGGAAGGGGAGCATTTCCCGGGAACGTTAACATTATTATTATTATTATTATTTATTATTATTGAACAATAGAAAATGTGGGAACTTTCAAATAGTGGGGAAATAAACTTTCCAAAACTAACGTGACTGCGGTTTTGCGTATTGTTTGTCTCATGCACACCAGCTTTTTTTTTACCCCAAAATATTTAACATCGAGCTCTGCGCTGAGTGGCGTTTTCCTCTCACGTTTGGACGTATCTATTTAATTTAATGTAGGTAAAGCTGCAAATCCATTTTACAATCATACTGATTTGTATATTTAATTTAATATTTTTATATGTTCTTTTTAATGGCCAATTGCATTAAATTCTTGCAGGAATATGCATATATATCATTACTTTGTATTTGGGTGTGTGTGTTTTTATTCATTCTGTAGCTAGACACATGTCATCTCCC